TTATATTATAATTTTTTAATATTTATTTTAACAAAGTATAAATTTAAAATGAATTTATATTAACCTGCAGTAAGTGGTACAACATCTTTACGTAACAAGATTCGTATCCTTCCAACATCTCTTCCATCTATTTTAATATCAAAATAAACCATTGGATTTGCTTTCATCTTCTTCTTTTCAGGTTCATCTTCCTAAAATATAATAAATTATTAATACAATATTTTCAATAAAAAAATAATTATTTTTATTAAATTGGACACTACTATTCTTTGTGAACGCTCAATATAATGAATGATTTACTCAATCTCTTAAGGCTTTTTTTAACAAATGAATGTTTTTACAAGATGAAGTGTTAATCCCCACGACTGAAATCCTCAACTTGAAACACCAGGAAATTTCTGCTTTGTCTGGTTCCTCTCTTCTAACCTGTCTAGCATGAGTAATCCCACTGGCAATAATACCACTGCTGACATAACTTGTTGGGTCATAGGAGACACAAGCCTCCTATGGCAAGGTCAGAAAGAAAAGATCAAGAGCATAAAATATGTGAGAAAGTGTGCAAAGAAATAGATGAAGATGGCAGAAGAAAAAGAGTATGCAGAGATAGAAGTGTCTGGAGAAATCTTGTAAATGGATGAGTGTTTGTGTGTAATTTTTTTTTTGTCAGCTGCCCATCCCTTCTGAGAAATGAGTTTGATGATAAGTTTTATATGAAAAGAATAACTAGATAACTATTAAATTGAGGAAACTAAATACATTTTTATACTGAAATGTTTTTGACTCAATTACAGTCATCATCAGCATGTTGAACATGTTCAATTATGGTTTTCTGAGTTAATCATTTCTTAAATATAGTGCCAAGTTTCTTTTGAGTATAATAAGCATATATGAATTTACTCATTTACTCAAACCTTTAGCATTCACTACAGCACTAGTTCATTGTATGTGTACCATATGTTTCCAGGTGATTACAGTTGATTGATATATTGATTAAGTGTGTGTGTTTGTGGTTTTGATTGTTGAAAAGCATGTAGATGACAATTATCAATGGCTGGTTTAGTAATCAATCAATAATTACTATTGTGAGAGTCTGGAGACCAGCTGACCTATTTCACCCACATTTCAAGGGAGATTTATTTAGAATTTACTTAAATTATTTAACGATTTATGAAATTATTTAATTAGGAAAATGAACCATAAAATAAGCTGTTACTTTTGAAATTAGTAGAAAGAGGGAAATAGAACTTCCTTTCATGTTTGTCAACTTCCTGGAGTGAGATCAATTATTTCACGTGTTTATGATACATCTGCTAGTACATTCACCCCTCATATCCCATCACATGGTGTGACATATTGACTCCGAATGGAGAGATTCAGGAATAAAAGGGTAAACATCCCGTTTTTCAAGGTTCATGTCTTCTCCTGGTCTCTTTGTCTCTCATTTCCTGTCACAAAACCTTCTCTCTGTTCTCCCAAGATTTCACCTTATGCGTATTTGATAAGAATTGCCAATTCTTCCAAGGTTCCCAAATACATTGAAATACAACATAATCAAATACAAAAAATCAACATAAGAGGTATTATGCACAACTTATTGTAACTCTCTGTCTTAATGGTCAAATAGAGGTGAAATCAGTTAGCTTATATATATATATATATAAATATATATATATATATTTATTATTCTTTGTATTTAATCTTCAACTTATTTTAATCATTAAATCTTTGTATATTTGTTTAACCTGGCTTCGATCTCGATTTATTTAACGTTGGTCACCCTGTCAACAGAATCATGACCCTTCCCACTCACATTAGCTAACTTCTCACTCAAACATATATCTAAAGATAAATCTCACAAGTTAAGACACGAGTAATCTTTTATCCTAACTGGTGTCAGGAATCCCAGACAATAGGAAACCCCAACAATCTTCCTGTTCTATAAAAATTAATAGCCATCCACTGACAAAGTGAGTGGGCCTCACAGTTCCAATTTCACAACAGGTGTTAATTAAAAGTTAATCAACCCTGACTCTTCACTGTGGATCCTCACAGTATGGCTTTATTGTAAAGTCAATAAATATTTAGATTAATTTCTATCTAGAGTTTGGCTCCTAGCACACAAGATGTATGCAGAGGGGCACCACTGGCCCTGTAGGTGCCAGGACTTCCTACTCAACACCAAAACTTTCTCGGCTTTTAAAGATTTCATAAATGGAACAGGGATTACAGTCCCAGACATTACTACTAGTCCAGCTCCAAGCCAAGGACTGCTTGCCCTTATGGGGGCCCACAACTAATCTACACACAAAACTGGTGTACTCTGCACCTTTGTTTAAGGATGCTATTCCACCCACTGGTGTTGCAAGCCTTGTAGCTATGAAGTGACACATGGTCTGCACTAGCTAGGTCCCTTGGGGTAGATTTAGCCATGTGCCTCTCTTGTATTGTGGACTGTTCATTGTAATGCCCCATGTTCTGTCTGGTGGCACCAGGATGTGTCCACATTATGCAATATGTTTGTCTAATTTGTTCTTCCACCCAAGACCCAAACTAGGATCTTGGTGCCTTCTATTCTTGCGTAACCAAGGCATTGACCTCTGGTCTTATAAAGGGGAGCCCTCCTAGGGTCTGTAGCAAATTAGCCGTTAGGTCACTAGACTAGGCTCCCAAGGAAGAGAAACCTACTGTGATTGTTGGCCGATTCTGCTTTTGTGTACTCTTCTCATTCTATTCCGTGACAACTAATCGTTGGGATCAAGTTTTGTATCGCGCAAAAGAATATACTCTGTTCTTTTAATGTATTTTCCGAATTACACGTTGTATTTTATTAAGCACAGAGCATATTCACTGTAATAACCAGGCTTCGACCCACTCTTTGTATATTTTATTTCTATGGATTCAACAAATGGGGCTTGACACTGGTTCTCATGTGATCTCACTTTGCACTTTCCTATATCCCCACTCTTCCCTTTCTTACTTCTCTTCAAAGGCTAAGCCACTAGTACTGCCTTCTTAACTTTTCCAGATAGATATCTAGGGTTTGGATGGTAAACAAGCAAATTTTTATATTTACTCTGGGGTCACAAATTTGAATCTGTGTCAATCTCAGAAATTTTCGTGGATATGAACTAATATGCATTCTGATAATATTTGAGTTTATAAAAATTAATAAATTAATTAAGCAAATGAGTTTAATGTATAATATTTACTGATAATTAATAATAAAAGTATAGAAAATAAAAATAAAATACCAGTGATTCTTCAGCAGGTCTTTTATTATTATCTTCTGTTTCTTCACTTTCATTAAGTGTTTTGCCAGCATATTCCTTTAACCAACTATCATCAGCCCATACTGTTAACATTTAAAAAAAATAATAATAAAATTAAGTATCCGAGAATAAACAGAAATAAAAGAAATATATTTTTACTGAAATATAAATCTGTTATTTACCTGGTTTAACAGAACCTTCTTTAATTTTCATGGGTTTAGCAATATTAACTCTGATTGTCCTACCAAATAATTCTGAGTCATTCTAAATTTACAAATAAAATAATTTTCATCAATATCTTGACTTTATATTTAATTATATGAAGATTAAAAAAATACGAATATTACTGTATTTCTTCAAGTCAAGACAAAATTTGATTTTAAATTTATGGTGTAAGATTTTTTGATGGAAAGAAAAATTTTAAAAATAATCAGTTTTATATAATTTTTTAACTGAAAATGTTAGAAATATAAATGCCAAAAAACAGGAAATGTTCTTTTGTTTTAATTCTGAATCATAATGTCATCTTGAAACTGTGTTAAATATTTAAAATAAGTTTAAAATGAATGCTCATATGATCTGATCCTAACTGTTGAGAAGTGGCTGATTAAATAGATATTATGTAATTTGGACTAAAGGTAGGTAGTTGCACTGTCTTTTATTAAATTTAAAAACTAGAGAAATTACAGTAGAGTTCTGAAAAAGCTACTCTCGATAACTAGATATTCTGTAAAAGTTGTTGTGTCTTTCAAATAAAACAAAAGTAATCAAATTTTTACCACTATAACTTAATACTAGGATCAAATAAGTTATTGTTCTTCACTGGCAACATTCAATAATAGCATCAGTCCCCATGTTAACAAAGAATATAACCCTTTTTCCAAGGTGACACTGCAAAATGCCACAATGCAAATGTTACTAACTTGAAATTAACCACCAAATAGCCAATATTTTTAAAAATTAAAATTTAACTACAAATAGAAATATTCACTATTGGTATGTAGTTAATATATATATATATATATATATGAATTTGCACATATAATATCCCTACAAAAATTCCACTGTTTAGGCTATCATCATCAATAAGCCATAAGACTCATCATTTTCAATAACTCGTCACATCGTCAGTCCACATTAAATCGAATTTGCAGGACTCTACTGTTCTGAATTAGTTTAGACTATTCAGGATGAAAATATTGATTCTGAGCAGGTTTTGAACCCACAACTTCTAAAGCTGATGTTAAAAGTTAATCAAATTATTTATTTATTTATTTCTCCAATTGTTAAATTTAATACAACATGGTAACATAATTAACTATCTTTAGTCTACATTCCAGTGAGCAGTACAGCCAAAATTGTGTTATTGATCATAATTGACCATTTGAAGATGTATGTAAATTGTTTTGAACTAGTAATATTACACATTATTGATTATAAGATGTACACCTCTACTTTGAACAAGTGAAAATAGATTAAAAAATCAATGTTAGAGGAAATATGGTATATACAGTGGTCCCTCGTATAACACACTTAATCTGTTCCAAATGAATGTCCGTTAAGTGAAAAGTCAGCATTTTCCCATAGAAATACATGTTAAAACATATATATATAATTATATATTATATTATGAATTATATATATATATTTAATTTGTTCCGCAGCATAAAATAACCGTACTGTACCATAAAAAATAATGAAAATGGAGCAGTCACCAATTATGTCGGGTAGTCAGATGTTGTGAGGAGGTGGAGGAACACCTTATTCACACATTCATACAGATACAGACTTTTTACACATTGCAGCAGGTCTCTTTTTATTGTTTTTTAATCAGAGTCAGATTCAGGAGAAGCTACTGGGGCTTGCATGGTCAATTCCTCTTCTTCCATTCTTTGTGTTTTGGCAGCTGGCTTCTTGAAAAACATGTCTAAAGTGGTCTGTTTCTCTCTCTTCTTCAACACCTGTCGAAAATGATGGGCAAGAGTGTCATTGTAGAGATCATTGATCCTGTTGGCCTCAGCTCTGTTTGGATAATGAGTGTTGGTAAACTCCTTAACCTCTCCCCATTTGACAAGGAAGTTTTTGTCAACTTTCACTCCTTCTGATGACTTCTTGCTTTGTTTCAATTGAAATCACCTTTCTGTTTTTTTGGAAGCCATGATTTGCACAACACTTGAATAAATGTAAATACCCTGCACTGAGGTGATGTACATAATAAACAAGGGAGCAAGCCGAATCCCAACGGGAGCTGTGTACTTCAGATATACTAATAATATATTCTAATAATACTAATATATTATAAAAATGGCATATTGTCATTGGCAACAGCAAAACAGTGGAAACATCATTCGCACTTCTTTGCAGAAAGTCCATTGTTCGCATAACGTAACTGCCAAACGGCAAGTCTGTTGCTCGCAGCCAGTCCGTTGCTCGAGTCACGTAACTGCCAAACGGAAAGTCCATTGTTCGAGTCACGTAACGGCCAAACAGAAAGTCCGTTGTTCTCAACGTCCGTTATTCGAGGCGTACATTATNTTTATTTATTTCTCCAATTGTTAAATTTAATACAACATGGTAACATAATTAACTATCTTTAGTCTACATTCCAGTGAGCAGTACAGCCAAAATTGTGTTATTGATCATAATTGACCATTTGAAGATGTATGTAAATTGTTTTGAACTAGTAATATTACACATTATTGATTATAAGATGTACACCTCTACTTTGAACAAGTGAAAATAGATTAAAAAATCAATGTTAGAGGAAATATGGTATATACAGTGGTCCCTCGTATAACACACTTAATCTGTTCCAAATGAATGTCCGTTAAGTGAAAAGTCAGCATTTTCCCATAGAAATACATGTTAAAACATATATATATAATTATATATTATATTATGAATTATATATATATATTTAATTTGTTCCGCAGCATAAAATAACCGTACTGTACCATAAAAAATAATGAAAATGGAGCAGTCACCAATTATGTCGGGTAGTCAGATGTTGTGAGGAGGTGGAGGAACACCTTATTCACACATTCATACAGATACAGACTTTTTACACATTGCAGCAGGTCTCTTTTTATTGTTTTTTAATCAGAGTCAGATTCAGGAGAAGCTACTGGGGCTTGCATGGTCAATTCCTCTTCTTCCATTCTTTGTGTTTTGGCAGCTGGCTTCTTGAAAAACATGTCTAAAGTGGTCTGTTTCTCTCTCTTCTTCAACACCTGTCGAAAATGATGGGCAAGAGTGTCATTGTAGAGATCATTGATCCTGTTGGCCTCAGCTCTGTTTGGATAATGAGTGTTGGTAAACTCCTTAACCTCTCCCCATTTGACAAGGAAGTTTTTGTCAACTTTCACTCCTTCTGATGACTTCTTGCTTTGTTTCAATTGAAATCACCTTTCTGTTTTTTTGGAAGCCATGATTTGCACAACACTTGAATAAATGTAAATACCCTGCACTGAGGTGATGTACATAATAAACAAGGGAGCAAGCCGAATCCCAACGGGAGCTGTGTACTTCAGATATACTAATAATATATTCTAATAATACTAATATATTATAAAAATGGCATATTGTCATTGGCAACAGCAAAACAGTGGAAACATCATTCGCACTTCTTTGCAGAAAGTCCATTGTTCGCATAACGTAACTGCCAAACGGCAAGTCTGTTGCTCGCAGCCAGTCCGTTGCTCGAGTCACGTAACTGCCAAACGGAAAGTCCATTGTTCGAGTCACGTAACGGCCAAACAGAAAGTCCGTTGTTCTCAACGTCCGTTATTCGAGGCGTACATTATACGAGGCACCACTGTAATTATCTATTATTATGATAAATAATTAAAATTAATACAGTATATATATTTCTAAGAAATAAGATCTTTTAAGTGTTTCTCTATGAATAATAAATTTTAAATATTTCTTAGAAAAACACTTAAAAGATCTTCTGTAAACAAAGAAATAAACATCTCTCCTTAATATTTAACTGGACAACTAAGGCACTAAAGCACCAACCTACTACTCTGGGAACTCAAGATTGAATCAGGGTGATCAAAAAACCACAGAAGTTTTTCAGGGGCTGACTGTCCCAGTTTTGTCAAACCCCATTTCTCACCACCTGACTGTTCCCCTTGTGGGTCTGGCTGAACCAATAATGTATATGATTAAAAGGCCCTCTTAGTGCCATATGGCAGAGAGAGAGAGAGAGAGAGAGAAGGAAAAATATATATATATATTTAATTTGTTCCGCAGCATAAAATAACCGTACTGTACCATAAAAAATAATGAAAATGGAGCAGTCACCAATTATGTCGGGTAGTCAGATGTTGTGAGGAGGTGGAGGAACACCTTATTCACACATTCATACAGATACAGACTTTTTACACATTGCAGCAGGTCTCTTTTTATTGTTTTTTAATCAGAGTCAGATTCAGGAGAAGCTACTGGGGCTTGCATGGTCAATTCCTCTTCTTCCATTCTTTGTGTTTTGGCAGCTGGCTTCTTGAAAAACATGTCTAAAGTGGTCTGTTTCTCTCTCTTCTTCAACACCTGTCGAAAATGATGGGCAAGAGTGTCATTGTAGAGATCATTGATCCTGTTGGCCTCAGCTCTGTTTGGATAATGAGTGTTGGTAAACTCCTTAACCTCTCCCCATTTGACAAGGAACTTTTTGTCAACTTTCACTCCTTTTGATGACTTCTTGCTTTGTTTCAATTGAAATCACCTTTCTGTTTTTTTGGAAGCCATGATTTGCACAACACTTGAATAAATGTAAATACCCTGCACTGAGGTGATGTACATAATAAACANACGGGCAAGAGTGTCATTGTAGAGATCATTGATCCTGTTGGCCTCAGCTCTGTTTGGATAATGAGTGTTGGTAAACTCCTTAACCTCTCCCCATTTGACAAGGAAGTTTTTGTCAACTTTCACTCCTTCTGATGACTTCTTGCTTTGTTTCAATTGAAATCACCTTTCTGTTTTTTTGGAAGCCATGATTTGCACAACACTTGAATAAATGTAAATACCCTGCACTGAGGTGATGTACATAATAAACAAGGGAGCAAGCCGAATCCCAACGGGAGCTGTGTACTTCAGATATACTAATAATATATTCTAATAATACTAATATATTATAAAAATGGCATATTGTCATTGGCAACAGCAAAACAGTGGAAACATCATTCGCACTTCTTTGCAGAAAGTCCATTGTTCGCATAACGTAACTGCCAAACGGCAAGTCTGTTGCTCGCAGCCAGTCC